TCGATCAGTGCAGTGTGTGTTTAAAGGCTTTATGGACACATTTCATCTACTTCAGCACTTCAAACACCATCCAGCACGTTTATGTGCATATATTCCACTGAGTCCTTTCTAAACGATACATCTTGGTACATCTTAAAGTGATAAAAACATGGATTATTCAACAGAAGACATAAAAAACAGACAGAAAGGTAACTATGCTTTTTAAAGCTTTAGCTAGAGTTGTCAGGTGATTGTGAAATCATTCAAATGTGCTGATACCAGTGTTTCTGCATTATTGGCAATACAGACTCAGTTTGGCTGCTGCTGACAGCCGGCTGCTTTCAAACACTCCTGCATGTATTTATAAGTGCAATGGTTTCCATTTACAATGCGTTTTGCAGCACTGAGCACTGCAGCCAATCACAGACATGTCTGTTGAGCACAAGAACGCAACAGCCAATCGGAGGCAGTTAAGTTCATCAACCGTTCATCAAACTGTGTTCAGTGCGCTTCTGCACAAAGACATGATGTGAGCAAAAGGTTGAGTGCATTAGTTTCAATAATAACGGGAGTTCCGGCAAGAGTGAACTCACGCTGAAATGAAGTGAGTGCGCTTCAGTCATTATGAAGGAAGCGTTTTCATTTATAATCTTATGTCTTATGAACAGCACCACGAGTCTAACATTCTAGATATCAGCGTTGTTTTTCTTATGATAAGCACTGGATTAAGAAAGCATCTAAGCTTGTGTGCATTAGTGCAAGCAAACGTCCTGCAGTCTGGCTCTGAACTGGGAGCGTGGACTCAAGTCTACAGCGCTCTTGCTCAAACTGTTCAATCTCTCTGTTCTCTTCACTCCACAATTAAACAATGCCTTTTTGAATAACTTTTGACATGCAGAACAGACAAAACCACAGATAAAACAATCAAAATAACGCTCAGAAGGTAAATTCACACGGTGCCAAAGCAAAAGCAAAGAAAGTGATGGATTCTTCTGCAGCTGTTGGTGTCGGACTGACCTTCAAGGCCTCGACCTGCTGGCATAATATCTGCAGCAGTGACTTCTGGTCCTCCACCCAGTGAGGTGGTGTTTTGGGGGAGAACTGCAGGAGGGAGACAGAGACAATCAGCAGCGGTAAACGGCACACAGAGTCTGAGCACAAACACCTGAGCCGTGACGTACCACAGATCTTTTGGACGGAGACGTCGCACTCTTGGATGGGGAAGGAGTGGAGAATCTGACATGGCCTTCAGCGGGCTGCCCGGGGCTGGATGTCACAGGATAGTCCACCTGATCTTCACACATCTCACCAACATCTTCAAGCTGCTGGCTGACCTCATTCAACAAATCCATCACCTCCTCCATAGACACCGGTAACTTCACAAACACACAGACAGACATGCCAGCGGTGACCATGAGCAAAGATTTGCGTCACAATATTCTTAAAACCGTGGCTGATCACAAAAAAACAAACAAAACAAAAACACAATATATAGACACACATTATGGAAATGTGATTACAAACACTGACGAAAAAGCAACAGTCCTCAAGACAATTTCCTTAGTAGCAGTGATCAAAAATTTTATACACTTTTAAAACATTTGACTACAACCTTCTTTCAATCGGTGTATCGCACACCCCTCCATATGCATGGAGACCGGTGTATATATTAGGGGTTGCACCGACTAATCGACTTCAATGCTCTGCC